TAAAACCATTACATGAGAGCTCAACTGTTCACAAAATACACATCATTATCTAATAAAACTGTTTGGAATACTCATAGTCATACACATACATCACTGCTTTAATACATAACAGTCACAACTGATACATCATTACAACTTAAAACCCATACAAAATATTTCGAATTATATCCTGCCCTAAGGACTCACACTAAGCATCATTAACATCATCCAGTCCGGAACCACACTACGGGATATGTCCACCATCCTGACACAGATGAACCCGACACTGCACAAAGTGTACAGACACCTGTCCAAACTCACGGGTAGCCCCCGTTACCAGAACAACAGTGTGCAAGCATCTCCTGTTACACCTAATCTCGCAGGTATCCCCCGCTACAGAACTCACAGGTATCCCCTGTTACAAAACTCACAGGTATCCCTCGTTACAATAGTCACAAGTAGCCCCCCTTATTACACCAGACTCACAGGTATCACCCGTTACGACACAACACAACTCACAAGTAGCCCCCGTTACAACACGACACGACGCACTAGCAACAGCATGACAAGACGCACATATGACAATGCGACATGACTCCCAATTAACTATGCAACACGACTTACAGACGACCATGCAACACGACTCATAGATAACCATACAACACGACTCACAAATGTCTCCCGTTACAACACAAACCGACTCATAGGTATCCTCCGTTACAACACAAGACGGCTCACAGGTGTCCCCCGTTACAATCGACATGACTCACAGCTATCCCCCGTTACAACACAGTCATAGGTAACCCCCATTACAAAACTCACAAGTAGCTCCCGTTACATCTAGCACAACTGTGCACAAGCATCTGCCCGATTTCACAGGTATCCCCCATTACGGAAGAATCAATCATAGTAATATCTCATCTCCTTTGTGGACAATCCCTCTTCATGTGGCCCGGCTGACCACACCGAAAATAAACTCCAGAACTAGGTCTATCAAGAGGATACTCCGCCTTGCGGTGTCCTGGTTGTCTACAATGGTAACACACCAAACTCGTCTTAGAGGACCCTGAAGAAACACTAACAATAGGAGTAACACCAGCCGTCCGCTGCTCTTGAGAAAACAATGAAGCATCTATGTGCCTCTTCTTATCCTGATTCCCGGAAGAAGTACCCATACTCGTACCTCATCCCTGAGGACCCACAATACCACTCATTTCTTGCCAATCTTTGGCTTCGGCTTCTACCATCAGTGCTCTCGTAACCGCTTCTGAATAATTCTTTAATCCCAAAAATCTCACCCCGACCTAATAAAACAATTTAGGCTATACATAAACCGCCATGTCTTCTCTTCTTCGTTCCCTAACACATTTGTAGCGAAATGTGAGAGAGAAGTAAACTTGTTCTCATACTCTGTCACTGACATGTCACCTTGCTCAAGTCCGTCAAACTACATCCTCAATTCTCGTCTCTTACTCTACGGGAAATACTAATCAAAGAAAAGACTTTTGAATGCATCCCAACTCATATTGTCAATGTCATGCACGCTACTCATGGTCTTCCACCATACTGCCGCGTTGCTAACAAACTTATATGTAGCTAAAATGATCTTCAATCGATCATCAAGCGCGACTATTGTCCTGAAATGCTTTTCAACTTCATCTAACCAATCGTCCGCTACCAACGGATCTGGACCTCCCTCAAATGTTATTTTCATTAGTTTATTAAACTGGAGCAAGTACCTAAGGTTCCGCTCCATATCTGTCTCTTGTGGCTGAATAGCCGATTGTAGTACCACTTGAGGAGCTGTGGTACTTGCTAAATTCTGAAAGGTTGAGGATACATCCCTTGCTAATAAGACATTGTCCTCCGGTATTTGTGGATTATCATCCGCCTCTCTATCTCGGCCCTCTCCCACTGAAACCCTCTCTGGTTGGGATGCCCTTCACCTGCTCGCTCCCCAACTTCATCTGGATCGATCAGGTCATGTAGTCTTTAAGCGCGGTACTACAAAAGTAACTATATGATCAAAACAAGGATACACGAAGTAACTCAATCCACGACCTACGATGATCACATTATTCATTCGATAAGAACGAAAACATTGACAAGCATAGGAATGGACAAACACCTCACATACGTAAGTTAAAACCTTTCGTAACTCAACATACAATACTGGCCCGGACACTCATACCCGTCAACAACAAAACCAACAAGCTGCGCATACATCCATTCCTTAGTGGATCAACGACCACAACATGGATCTAACACATGCAACTACATCCTAAAACAAGATCATATCTAGCATGTTCAATTACTTGCGATAAAAACTTATACAACATGTTTTTAACAATAATAACACTTAACAATTAAATATGCGGTCAATCAAGCATGTTTTCATCAATAATAAACAATTAACCACGTAGAAAATCGAGCATGTTTTAAACAATTTAATCATTTCATTAATCATACAAATAATTTCACGTAAGCATCTGACAAATAGGCATGCTTTCACATTAATCGAATAACAGCTTAAAAACAATAAATACCTTATCATTTAGCATGCTAAAATTTAATCATTGCTTCAAAATTCGTATAACAACAATTCATGATTTTTAACTAGGTAAAAACTAACCACATATGCATGCAACACCATTAACCCAAATTCTAACTCCTCTAGGTCAACCCTACCCGTCGTCCTTAGGTTTTCGAACCTAAAACTCTGATACCAAATTTGTAACGATCCGAACCCGAGGGTCCGAATTGTTAACCGTGTCCTTACCCAAACCCGAGATCATCTAGGGGCTGTGCGGTCATTTCTAAGGTTAAGATGTAATTAGTTTACCCCACAGATCCTTCTACTACACCATGGTGGAATGACCCAAATCATAAAGGTCCAATACATGGGTACTATGAAACCCTTAAAAGATTGCCATGAAATGAAAGAAAGAAAGGGAAAATACCCAGTAGACTACCCCTGTGTGGTAGTCAACTAAACCTTAGTAGACTACGCCTATATGGTAGTCAACTAACCCCTAATAGACTACGCCTGTATGGTAGTCAACTAACCTCCAGTAGACTACCCGATGGGAAAAAAATAATCACCTGGCAACATTAATAATATACATCCCGTGTCATCCTCATCAATGAAATTAACGAAAATAACCCATAGTCATCCCATTCATCCCAATATACCAACATAATTATTACATGCTTCCATGGCCACACACAAAATACATCAAATTGTTGTCTAAAATACGGGCACATTGTTAAGTTACAACAATAAAACAATTACATAGATTTTCTGAAAACTTTACAGAAGAGATATCATAATACAGATTGACCAATAATAGATCTATTCTAGTCCCGTCCATGCCCGTGGAAGATCAACATCTACCAACTCAACCTCGTGACCTGAAAAATGTAGAGGAGTGAGCACAACGGCTCAATAGAGATTGCCTAAATGGCATCTCCTCAAACAAAGTAAATAACCACATATCTTCCAGATAATGAATTGGGAAAAGAGTTAGGGATCATGCGAGGGATTCACAAATAACACTTCCGCTTTTCCGAATAACCGTCATACCATTCAATACGAAACAATGCATACCCACGTCACACCACACCCTGTGTATCCACACATCACATCCACGCCTTCGTATACCCACACATCACATCCCTCAACCTACACAATTCTCCTCTGCTTATAAACCCACTATGACATGCGTATAGAATGCTTCAATTTCATTTGTTCAATAATCAACATACTTTCATAACACAATTAACAGTTTTAGCATGCTATAACATTTAAGGATCATCTAGCATATGTCTAACCAAAAACATCACAACAATCATGAGTAAAAAAAATGAATAAACCATCACATAGCAACTGAATAGCATGACATTTGCAATTTATACACAAGATAAACATTTAATCACGTAAAACGTCTTAATTCAGCAATTCAAGTGTAAGCCAAAACCCTAAAATTTAATCATACATTTTAGGCATCAATTGACATGCTAAAGAGGGGCAAAAACATTTAATTAACTACTAAATTCAAGGAAATTGACAGTTAGACAACTCTACCTCAATTTGAAGCAAAAGCCCCAATTTTTGAAATCCACCAAAGTCACCCAATTTCAACTTTGCTCCGATCAATTTGTAGATCTCGTTGAGTTCGCGAACTTTGTTTTCAATGGCAAAGTCAAATTTTCAATGAAATTGTGTAAATCTAGCTTTGAAATGGATAAAAAAATATACATATATAAAGCTTAGAGAGAGAAACTGTCGCAGCCAGAAAAGGAAGAAAGAATGGTCTGGTTGGTGACCATTTGGTCACCTAAAATGACTATGTCAATTACGGGTCCCATGTGATTAAATAAAAATCTTCGTAACACACACACACACACACACACACATATATATATATACACACACACTAACCACATTACAACCAATCATTTAACACATAGCTATATAAAATACCTCAAATAATAATGGATGATATGCAACAGTTCCGAAAAATAATTCTCGTGCACAACAATACCAGTTGCGGGTCCCACCTGACCCGAAAATTGAAAAATGTCGAAATGACAACCAATACATTTCCAAGAGTTTTGAACTTAAGAAAATGCCCTTACCAACTCTCGGACCCATCCGGCATACTCACAGTGTTCGACACGCAAAACGAGACAAGACGAAAACACCCCCAAAAAATCAAGAAAATCCTAGAAAATGGAAAATGATAAAAATCGAAAACATTACACATTGCTCTTTCATTTCATTTATCGATGAACAATACAATTAAAAATAAACACGTGGAAATAAAACTAAAGAACAAAATCACGTTTAAGATGAAAATTTGATGTTGCTATGGTAGTTTAAGGTCTACTTTAATAGACAAAATGTATAAGAATTATTAGTGATCTAAAGCCACTTCCTGTGCTTCATTTCACCACCAAAACTCAAAATTCAGGATGCTGCTGGTGACTGTCCTGTTTATATATAACCAGAATATGGGAGATTTGAACTTTTTTTTTTTTTTTTTTTCATTCTCAAGTCCGGTCCATCATGAATAACAGCCAATGTGTCAGCATCCCGTCCCATGCTGTAGGACTATTGTCCACTTTGCACTCGTGATTCCAAAACGCATCTACACAAATAAAAGACATTCCATTATACGCGTCGAAAAATTCTTCCGTTAAATGATGTGGAACGTCATGGTATGTGTCAAAGAACTTAAACTTTGTGAGAGATTCTCTCTTACCTCGGCCATTTCAATTGCCAATGATACATTCTACTACTAGGTATAATGTTTTAATTAACTTGTGCCCAAATTCATATTTTATTTCAGTTTCAGAACACTCTGTGATCTGCATCATTAGCTTCTAAGGGCTATTTACAGTTTCTACCCTCCTAAATACCAATAAATATCTGTTTTATCATATTTCTCTATCAACATATATAATTTTTCCGCATCTATAAATATATTATGAAAACGAAGTCATTCAATTTTCAAAGCACCACATATCATTTTCCTAGTACTAATAAGAAGATACCTAGGTTGAATAATCAAAAATAAAATCAGCCAATTAATTTTTTTTTTCTTTTTTTTCAAAAATTAAAGCAACTGACATTAATTGAAATTATAGATACAGTGTGGGCCTTTGGCCAAACCAACCCAATAAGGGCAACAACAATAAGTCCAAAGGGGACAGACAGCCCAAAAGGGGAAAACAAAAAAGCCCAAACAATGATATAGGCCCATTGACAACACAAAGATAACTACCACAGTTAACGGATTAGAAGCCGTTGATTGGGGAAGAGATTAACAATCCGGTAATCGAGCTCAAGATCCTCCATTAAGGAGGATAGCCGTTGAATTAGTCCAGCGGAAGCGAAGGGGGGCGGCAACGAGAAGGAGAGAGATTCCAGTCAGCTAGGATACAAGGGGAAGCTGCACAATCCTTTAGAACCCCAAATTTGAGGATTGAGGTAATGGAGTTGCATATCTTTGCAAGCACTGCTTTCTGAGAGAACTTCTTCCTTTGGAAGATTCTAGAATTGCGTTCTTCCCATAAGTTGTAAATCACAGCTGATAGACCAATCTTGCGCAGCTGATTAGTAGGTGAATTAGACTTCCAAGTCCAGCTGATATGTTGGATCAGAGCCTCCTAGTTTTGGATTGGAGAATGGAAGTGAATTTTGCCACGGATAAATCTCCAAATTGGGGAAATGAAGTTACAACTGAAGAACAGATGGGAATAGGATTCAGGAGAGAGGTTATATAACGCACAATTGTTGTGGTGTTGCACCATGGATTTACTGTCAAAAGTGGGGAGTTTGGATTGAACTATGAGCCATAAGTTAAACTTCATCCTTGGAATTGTTGGTGAATTCCGTACTAAGTTGTGCCAATTGACTGAGGGGAAATTGCCTGCAAGATAAGCTAAGGTGTGGCTGAAATTGTAGACACCTAAAGGGGAGATGGACCAAGTTTTCTTGTCTTCCCTTGATGAGCATGGATGGTTCATGGGGATTAATTCTAGAATTGTATTGGTGATGGTAGTAGGGAAATACCAAGTTGAATTGGTGATGAATGTACTCACTGGGATATCCAATTGAAAGCCAGCATCTAAGAGAATAGAGGGTTGAAATCTAGAGCATAAAGGTCCATCTGGAGCCCAGTTGTCCCACCGGAAAGATGTTCCATTGCCATCTCCAATTTTATGCTTGATGATTGACCTGGCATGGTGCCTCTTGGAAAATCTTCCTCCAACTCCAGGAGCATGACTGAGGATAGGTTAGAGTCCATAGATTTCTGGATTTGATTAAGTGAGTGTGGCACCAATTTACCCAAATTTTGTTGTGGTCATGACATTGAAGGTCCCATATGTATCTGAGAATGCCAGCCTTGTTGCTTAGTTCCAAGTTGGGGATGCCCAAACCACCTGCATTCTTTGGCTTGCATACCTTACTCCATGCAACTTTAGCAGAGGTGGATTTCATTTCTGGTTAAGACCAAAGGAATGCACTGAAGATATTATTGAGCTTGTTGATTACTGCCTTTGGGAGGATGAAAACGCGAGACCAATAAAGCTGTGTAAAGACTAGGACAACCTTGATCAACTGCAGCCTTCCTGTATAGGAAAGTGATCTAGAGGTCCAGTGTGTGATCCTGTGGGTTATCTTCTCTATAAGCAGGCTACAATGAGAAGCTTTTAGATTTGTTGAAATGAGTGGAACCCAAAGATATCTGATTAGGAGAGTCCAAACCCCAATGCCAAGCAAGGAGGTGATGCAGCTCTCTGTGTATTGATCAGTCCCTGAGAAAAATATAGAACTTTTATTGAGGTTAATAGCAAGGCCAGACATTGTACTAAAGTAATCAATTGCTGATTTTAAAACTGAGACAGAAGTGATGTCTGCATGGCATAGTAGGAGAAGATCATCAGCATAAGAGAGGTGAATGATCTTGAGGTCTTTACATCTCCAGTGGAACTTGAAGGCTTGTACTCTACCTATATAGCAGTTGATGATGGATGAGAGTGCATCCATTACAATGACAAAGAGGAAGGGGGAGATTGGATCTCCTTGCTTAAGGCCCATTTTCCCTTTGAAAAAACCCTGGAACTCCCCATTGAGTGCAATAGTGAATGAGGGTGAGGATATGCATGCCTGGATCAGTGAGATGAATTTCTGTGGAAAATTTAGTAGGGTTAAGCAGCTGATTATGAAGTCCCATTTAACAGAATCAAAAGCTTTCCTTAAATCAATCTTGATTGCATATCTTGATGGAGAGCTATCCTTGTGGTACCCTCTTAATAGCTCATGAGTAAGGAAAATTGGATCATTGATCTTCCTACCCTGAATGAATGCTGACTGAGAGGGATTAATGATGAATGGGAGGGTTATTTGCAGCTTGTGGGCAAGTAGCTTGGCAGTACACTTGTAGATTGTATTGCAACATAAGATAGGTCTGTAATCATGTATGGAGGAAGGATTTTGACACTTTGGGACCAAAGAGATGTAGGTGTTGTTTACCTCAGCTAAGAGTTTCCCATTTTTGAAAAATTCTGAGATTGCTGCAGTGATTGATATTCCAATAATGGGCTAAGATTTCATGAAGAACAACCCATTGTAGCCATCAGGTCCAGAGGCTTTATCCTTTTTGATGGAGAACATACAGTTCCTAATTTCAGTAGGAGTAGGATTGTCATCAAGGTAGGTTAAGAGATGGTGGGGAACCTGCTTGGAGAAGAAAGGTGTGAGGTCACTTAGGTGATGAGTGGTAGGAGGTGAGCAACCCAGTAATTTTTGGAAATATGAGACAACTTCAAGCTTGATGGAGTCCATATCATCAATTATCTGTCCTGAGTCCAAGGTAAGTGATACAATCTTTTTCCTATTGTTTCTAGAAGAAAGAAATTTGTGGAAGAATGAGGAGTTGCAATCTCTAAGTTTCAACCAATTCATCCTTGATTTCTGTCTCAACATATCTTCTTGAATCTTCCCAAGCCTTAGATACTCTGAGATAAGTGATCTTTCCATTTCTCTTAGTAATACATCATTTGGGGATTTATCCAGGTCTAGCTGTCATGAGTCAAGTTCCAGCTTTACATAGTGAAGCTTGGAATCAGCCTCTGAGAATTCCTTCTTACAGTTAGCTCTGAGGACTGGTTTTAACATTTTTAGTTTTTGAACCACTTGGAACATAGCTGTACCTCTGATGTAGCAGCACCACACTTCATGGACTGAGGATAAAAACTTAGGGTGGGAAGACCAGACATTGAAGCATTTGAAAGGAACACACATGTGTGGGATATTGAAGTTCATAGTAATAAGTATGGGACTATGATCAGATATACCTGGGGGGAGAAAATTATATTCAGAAAGTGAAAATGAAATAGACCACTTGTGATTGACAAGAGCTCTATCCAATTTTTTGGCAATACAAGTTGCACCTTGACTTTTATTAGACTAGGAAAAGAGAATGCCACTGAATTTGAGATCATCTAGCTCAGCTTACTGTAGACAGTCTTTGAATTCATCTATGGCTTGACATCTCCTTCTTGAACCTCCAAAGGTTTCAGCAGTGTTGGGGATAACATTGAAGTCACCCATGATTAGCCAAGGGGAGTGAGAGAACAATCCAGCAAAATGAATAATATTTTCCCAAAGAAGCTGCTTTTCAGTTGCCATGTTAGCAGCATAGATAAATGAGGTAAAAAATGTGATGTTTTGCCCAATGATAGAGATTGAGCAGTGAGTTGCCTACCTGCTAGTATCAATGACTTTAAGGTCTACTTAGTTAAGGTTCCGCAGTACCCAAATTCTCCCTAGGGGAGAGTAAAGATAATTGTGAATGAGTGACCAAGAGGGGCACAAAGACCTGTGGATGGATACCACATTTGCCTGGGATACTTTAGTCTCAACAATAGAGACTAAATCAAGCTTTATTTCAGAGATTAGTCTCTTTATCTCTGATTGCTTAGATGGATGATTCATCCCTCTAATGTTCGAAGTTGCAAATGATATCATTTAAAGGGTGGAGAGAATGAGTCTCCAAGATGCTTACACATCAAATCAGGGTTGTTGCTGAGCTTCTTCCTTGCTTCTTTCTTCAATGATCTAGCTGTGAGTTTTCCTTTGGTGTCATTTAAAGGTTCAGTCAATGTAGAAGTGACCTGGGTGGTGTTTTGTAGCTTCAAGTTCTGAATCTTGTGAGAGAGAATAGGTATGGAGGCTTTCTATGGTTTCTGTAGCTACTTCTATGATCTAGGATTCTTTTTGTACCGAGGGAAGGTTAATAGAGGAGGCTTGGAAGTTGATGGTGAATTGGGTGGGGGTGAGCTATATTCTGTGAAGTTGAGTTTTTTGATACAGAGAGGGGAGTAATCAAGCAGATGGTTAGATGTTGATGGAGGGATTACAATTGAATTTTGAACCATTGTTTGGTTTGATGATGATGTTGAGCTGTTATTTGCTGAGGGGGAGGGGGTTTCACTGGTTGAGTGAGGTTGATTCAAGTGGTTTAATGGTGAGAATTGGTTATTTGTTGTAGTGATTGGTGGATAGGAAGAGGATTTAGGTGATGTGGCAGGTCTTTTGTTTTTCTTCCTAATTGTAATCCAATTGTTGTTGTGATTTATCTCTGCTGGGCTGTGGTCTTTCATTGTTGGGCTATTAGGGAAAGGGGTTAGCTCTTTGGTAGTGTTTGTAGTAGGTTTGATGTGGTTGAGAGGGCAGGAGGCTTGAGAGTGGTTAAGTTGATTGCATTTCAAGCAAAACTTTGGTAGCCACTGGTACTCGATTCTGATTTATTCAAATTTGTTGTCCTCAACTTTGATTTGGACCTCTGTTTAGAGTGGTTTGGAGAGGTCAATATTAACACAGACCCTTGCATACTTGAGCTTAATCCTTCCTTCAATAGCTTAATCAACATAAAGAGGTTCACCAACTGTGCTAACAATATGGCTTAAGCCTTTGGCTGTCCAAAAATTGATGAGGGATGTTGTAAAATTTTATCCACGTGGTAAAAGGCCCAGAATTTTAGTCCTTCCTCTGCAACTTCTTTGGGTGGATTAATGAACCTTGAGGAATGAGGTGGAGGTAGGTAATCAAGACACATTTTGGTGGTTTGTTTGACCACCTCATTCCATGCTTTTGTCTGGTGGTTAATGGTTGTTTGTTTGTGGAGGGAGGGAGAGGTTACTGTTGTGTTGTCTGTTATGTGTTGTATAAGGTTAGAGATGGGTGGAGGTAGGACCACTGTTGTCTGTGATGAATTTGACCGGAATCATAAAATAGGCAAGGCTGTAGTGTTTGTGTTGGAATTGGTGGGAAGGCAGTCTGCGGTTTTACTCTTTTGGATGGGGTGTGGAGAGACTGATGATGTGGGAGCTTGCAGAGGGGGTTTGACTAGAGGTAATGAATCTGAGTTTGAGTTTGAATTTGAAATCATACCTGTTCCTTCCTTGATTTGTTATGGCCCACTTGTGGTGGTGGTGGTGGTGGCTAGTGGTGGTTAATCATTGGTTGGAGAGCTTAGATGAGGTGGAACATGGTGTTGCTTTTGAGCTTTGAGCTGAGCCAGCTCAGTTCTCAGGTCGGATACAATCTTCTTGAGTGAGTTGTACATGTCCATGGCTCTCCCAAGGTTCTCATCTTTCCATTCCAGCTATTCTTGTAGCCTGTCAATCTAGTGTGCTGGGGAGGAGTAGAGTAGGGGATTAAAGTTTCTTGGTAAATTTGAGTTAGCAGGTGGAGAGCTAGGAGGGGATTGATAAGTGTGATAGGGATGTGGATTAGAGGCTGAGTTATTGTTGTAGCGTAGTTCATTTGAATGTATCCTTATAGGATTGACAGTAGGTGCAAGGAAGTGGATGTGAGGATGTGGATTAGAGGCTGAGTTATTGTTGTAGCGTAGTTCATTTGAATGTATCCTTATAGGAATGACAGTAGGTGCAGGGAAGTGGATGTGAGGCTGTCCAGAGAGTGAGGATGGGATTGGAGGGTGGTAAATTTCTGTATGTAGGGAGTTAATGGTTGGTTTTTTAAGTATGGTTTTTTGGTTAATCTGTTTGGGAAGATTTGTTTGAAGAGGTATGTGAGCTGGTCTGTGATTATTGTTGTAAAGAAGAATGTTGTTTGGTGAGGTGGTAACATGGCATGTGCAAGAGGTGTGAGTTGATCTGCGGTTGTTGCTGTAAAGGGGGATGTTGTTTGGTGAGGTAGCAGCGTGGCTTGTGGTAGGGATGGATTGTTTCAGTGGTTTGAAGGGTGGTTTAAGGTGGTTTGCTATTGGGTTGGCCGTTGACGGAGGTTTTTGGTGGTTTGAAGCTTTTGGGATAGACGCTCATTCTTGGAGATGACCTCACGGTGCAAAATGTGGACTAGAAAGGTCCGAGATGACATGGTTACGGCCAATAACATGACAATCAAATATATCATTTTTATTTAATTTTCTAATTACGTAACAACTTGTTATTTGACTGAGAGTTTGAGATCACATGGTCCCTGCCTCGGCCTCGTTCATGATGTAGATGACATGACACCCCTCGTTTGTCAAATGTCTTGTAGCATTGTTTTGTTTTAATGACTTACGTGTGATTATGGTTTGTAGCATTGTTTTGTGTTAATGACTGATGTGTGATTCTGGATTGGTGCTCAATCTTTCGAACTCAATTGTTAAATCAATTGTTTACCAGTTTGATATTGAAATCAAATAATGCCCCCAAATAAGAACTTGCTCGATGACAGTCTTTCTAGAATTCCATCTAATTCGATGAATGAGGTTAACGTAATCAGTAGTTCAGTACAGTTTAACCTAGAGTCTGCAATATTCACAATTCATTCCTTCTGGATGTTCAACGGAGCTTTATATTCCTCACTTGTATGAAATCATAACCAGTTTAATCATCTACTGCACGGTTGTTTTCTTCGCTTATTGTTTACAAGTAATATATTTCTGATTTTTCAACTTACTATCATTTTCAGATGGTCCCAAAGCACTTGGCATATATTCGATCACCACCCATTAATAGAAATCTCCGGCCTCATGTCGCGGTCCTGACGTTGCCGGATTGATGTAAATATTCAAGCTGTCAACAAAAGAGACAGAATCCCCATAGTCTTTGGGAGGTGGTTTACTTTTCTCCAAGAGAAAGAGAAGATCAAATACTGGTGGACCAAAATTGACATACCTTAAAAACCACTTTCCCATCATCATCATCTTCAACCCCTCTTACACCTTTACTTTTTCTTCATCTTATAATTAATTCACCATATATGATCTCATCCACTTCTCAAAAACCGCCACTGAGTAGAGGGCATTGCTACCTCTGTATCCAAAATTATGGCTCTCATCTTCCTCCACACCTTGGAGAGTGTGTCTCTATATCTATATCTATATCTATATATATATATATGTAATTTTTTATTAGATGGTCCAGTTTGATGGTAGCAACTGTCATGGCCCATGTTACACCATCCTCTAATCTGTTCAATGACTTCATTGACGCACCAAAACAACCTCCTCTCAATAATTTCCACTTTCAATGATTTTGGCCTATCTGTTTTGTATTGATTTGAAGCACACCATGGCTATCTCTCTCTCTCTCTCTCTCTCTAGAGATAACTGAATCTGGTCAAAATGAAAGCCACCGGTCAGTTGGTTGGGACATGAACTCATGTCTGTATGGCATCTTCCAAAAACAAAAACGAAAATATCATCAAAAGCATTAATATGGTTCAAGACAAAGTAAGAGATTAAATATCATGATTCTATCCTATGGTCTTCTCACAAAATGTCATAAAGGCTCTCCAAATCCTTCTAAATTACTCCCTCCGCCCCATATTAGTTCTTCGCCTTCGATATTATTCTGAGGTTATGAGCCAAAACCACAACATGGACCTACTTAGAAATCAAATGTAATTTCACTTGGTAATTGAAATTACAGGGAACTATATATATATATATATTATATATAGTAATAATCTTTAGGATTGAGGGGAATGAAAGGAAAAGAAAGAAAAAGGAGTCAATTAAATCATGTTTGGTTAAGAAAAACAACCAACAAAGAAGAAGAAGAGGAGGGGAGAGTCAGAGTGAAGAGTTTGTATAAATGGTTTTGTTTTCCTCCCAACAAATGAGAGGAAATGACAAGAAAGATGATCTAAATACTTGTAATTAATCAATCATCAATTACCCATTTCACATAAATGGTTTTCTTTTTTCTCCACTTGCAATAATAAGAGGCATGAAAGAGTTGTCATGTTCTTTCTTTTTAAAGCTATATTAAACATACTAGGTATACTATGACTCCTTTCTTTCCTCTCTACTCGTACAAAATGTCATGCAATATTTGTAAAAAATGTAACTACAAAATAATCTTATTACAAAGAAAATATTAATTGTTTTTTACTGCAAATATAGTGATTAAAACAGCCCAATCAAAATAGCAAGAATAAAGAAAAATTAATTTTGATAAAGGACTTAATTTTGAAAAAGAAATTACCTTCCAACCCTTACTTGCCACATTCGAGTCTTTAGTTCCATCTCCTCAACCTGCAAGTCACTATAATAAACCACTGATTAAAGAAATATATATAGACAATTAAAACAAAAATAATTTGCCCAAAGAGAATATATTACATAATGAGCTAAAAATTAATAGTAATTGTAATACATACATACATATATATATCACAGAAATAGAAAAAGTTGACAAGACGACATTGAGATAAAGCTGTACGGGCGCATCATTAAAAAAAAAAAAAAAAATCACGGGTTTAAAAATATATATATGTATCATATATACATATGAATATATATATATATATATATATAGGACTGTTCACCTGCTCACTGGTGTGCAAAAAATTTATGCACGAATTAAATCTTAACCGTTGGATATGAAAGAATATACTAATTTTTTAATTGTCCAATAGAATCTAACGGTTAATACTTGAAGTGTGCATACATTTTTCTGCACACCAAGAAACAAGTGAATAATTCTGTATATTATATATAATTTAAAAATAAAAAAAAAGTCTAACGGGTAAATGATATGGGTAACGTGGCATGTATTACACGAAACAAGACCAACATACACCGTTAAGGTGAATGAGTAACGGCAACCTCGAAAAGGGAAAAAGAAAAAGAAATGCACTACTACAACAATGGCGTCTAGAGGACAAAGAACAGAGACTCACCATATCACATTTTGCTCTCCAAAATAGACACTCAATCAAGCTCTCCGAATTTTGGCTCTCTTAAAAATAATAATAATAAATTATTATTATTTTTTAAAAAACTTTTTCCTAACGGCTATATTTTTTATTTTTTATCTTGTATAATTAACACTTATTTTTTAAAAAAAAAAATTTTTAAAAATTTGAAATTTTAAATTATAGCCGTTAATGCACTATTTGTGTCAGCCAAATAATGCCTTAACAACAGATGTTATGGAAAAAAAAAAAAGGTTTTTTAATTTATTTTTAGCTCAAATTTTTTTTTTGGACAAATAGTGCTTAAACAATATATTTTTTATTTAATGAAATTTAATTTATTTTTTTAAAAAAAAAATTGGGCTCAAAATAACCTATTTTTGGCTTTTTCTCGAAAAAATAATTATGCCAAACAGTGCCTTAAGGCAGTTTTCCAGAACGTTTAAACAAAAAAAAAAATTTAGCTTAACCAAAACATCGCCGTTTTGGTCAAGGAAAAGACAAAAAAAAAAGATACCACGATCGGGTTAGGCCTCGCGGTATTCCGCGAGCCATTGTGGGCCCCTCCCAGTTCCGCGAGCCTGCTGGGGAGCATTTGGCCCATTATGCTAGCCAAAATAGGCTTCCGCGAGCCCGCTGCGGATGGCCTAAGACCATCTCCAATGCAAAAAGTTATTTTTGCATGCCAAAACTATATTCTGAGAGGTGCTACAGTGTCAAAATGCTATATTTTAGTAATTCTGCTTCAATGGTGCATTTTATCTAAAATGCTATTTTTTTACACAACCACCATTTTCTTTTCAACTACCATTCCCCGCTACCACTCTATTATTATTTTTATTTTTATAACTAATATTATTTATTATTTATTTATCTTTTAACCCTAACCTAAGACATAAAATTTTAATTTATTAATATTAATTCATATATTTAAATAATTATTAACTAATACATCCTTAGAGTACATTAAATTATCATTAACTAATTAAATATTTATATAAATTTCACGGATCGGATCGGATTGAAGAAGTGTGTTTCAGATTTCTTTTGTTTGGTTCCTTGATTTATTAGTATGTGTGTGTTTTGTACACTAGACGGTGAACAAGTGAGTTTGTATTTTTTTTTTTTTTTTTTGTGAGTGTTTGTATTTTATTTAGCTTGTTTGCCTTATTAAAAATAAATAAAAATATTTGGCTTGTTTGTATTATTAAAAATAAATAAAATTAAAAATTAATTAATTGTCCATATTTCATGTACCTGATTAAAACTAATTTGTTTAACCTGACAGATAAATAGACACTAGTTACCAAAAAGTGATAGTGTCCCTAATTTTTTTTGCTGCTCTGTCACTAATTCACAAAAACTGGATGAATGGATGATAGCCATTTTTCATTCACTACGGACAAATCAAGCAAATCCAATATAAAGCAAAAATTAAATCAAATCCAATTTTTATTTTCCCTTTGTTTGATTGTTGAACATTCAGATAAAATAACTGGAAAAATAAAGTTTTAACTCGATCTTATATTATCTTTATTGGTAAGATTTCCAGGGAAAAAAAGAACAAAAATTGAATTCAATTAAGCAGATTAAAAAGCAATCAATTGAGTGTAGGGTCTCATTCTGGGCATAGATAGCAATAGCTATTGCTATATGTATATGTTGTGTTATGTTTGGCACAAAAAATGGCAAAGGTATATTTTGGCAACCCATTTGACAGCTCATTGTAGAGCTCAATTTTAACCCACCTCCTATATTTTGAAATTGGCAACCCCTTAAAGTTGCTCTAAGGGCTATTTAGAGTTTCTACCCTCCTAAACACCAATAAATATCCCTATTTTATCATATTTCTCTCTCTCTCTCTATCAACATATATAATTTTTCCACATTTATAAATATATTATGAAAACAAAGTTATTCAATTTTCAAAGCACCACATATCATTTTCCTAGTACTAATAGGAAGGCTGAATAATCAAAAATAAAATCAGCCTATTATACTGATACACAAATTAATGATGTTGGGATAGAATTGACCTCCCGACCTACCCAGAGGTAGAGAATTGCCCCACGATTTTATGTTAAACTGAGACGATCAACTAAGTATGTCAATTTTATTTAACTCTTGTTATTTGGCTGAGACCACATGATCCCGGCCTCTTGTCCATGGTGCAGATAACACGACACCCCTCATATGTCAATTATCTTGTAGCATTGTTTTGTCTTGGTGACTGACGTGTGATTATGGTTTGGTGCTAAATCTTTCTAACTCAATTGTTAAATCAATTGTTTACCAGTTTGATCTTTTCTCTTCTGTATACTCAGATAAGTATTTTCAGTTTCCTTCAATTCAAAATTGCAATCGAGTGCTACATTGCTTCTTGGCCATCGGTTATTAGATAAGATCAAGGAATTTATGACATCACTCAAACCAACCGATACTCTCTCACCCGAGTCAATCCTTTGTGACCGAAAGTCAAAAGTGTTTGAAATTGAAAACAATCTCTCCATACAAAAAATAAGTTTGCGCCCTCTTATCTCCAACACTGATAACGAAGAATAAAGGACAGGATTAAACTTCCTTTAATCTCCTATCTCCAACTGTAGAAATTTCGTGCACTGATGAGGAATGAGAAAGAACAGGATTAAACTTCTTCCAATCTCAGATCTCCAACTTTTCTCTGGTTAAATTCACCACCAATCCTGTTTCAATTCCTCTTCATGGGAGTAAACTAAATACTTATCCAGATTGGGGAGTTGGTTCTCGTCATCATCCATTAATGTTTGCTGCTTATCCTTGATGATGCTGGAATTCAAGAGGTCAAACTAATGAAAAATAGAAAGGACAGGATAGCCTTAAATGGCTGACGTGTATCCAGATAAGGGATAACAATGTTGAAATGCATGCTCTAATCCTGTTTTGTTTATGTTCTGTAATGAATTTGGAATGATCTTGTCATCTCATCAAATACTATGAATAAGTCCATTAATCAGAAATACCCAAACATGACCTCAGCTGATAAGTGTGTGTGTGTGTATATATATATATATACATATATCTGTCTTAATGGCTGTGCATGTGATAATCATTTGATTGTCACTTATTCAAACCTCCAACTTTGTTTTTCATCCCCCAACTTTACATATTTAAATCACTTGAAACTTTTAATGCAATTCAATTCAAATTCGCTAACAGGACCACTGGCCCAGCAATGGCATGCTTGTAACACTGCTTTCTATGGTGGGGTCATGACACGATATTGAAATCAAATAATACCCCCAAATAAGAACTAGCTCGGTCTTTTTAGAATTCCATCTAATCCAATGAATAAGGTTAACTTAAACTCTGGTAATCAGTAGTTCATTCCTTTTGGATGTTCAACTGAGCTTTATATTCCTCACTTGTCTCCACGAAGCTCCAGTTATATATAGCTCACATAACCAGTTTAATCATCTTCTGCACAGTTGTTTTCTTCGTTTATTGTTTACAAGTAAAATATTTCTGATTTTTCAACCTAGTATCATTTTCAGATGGTCCCAAATTCCCAATCCTGCGCTTGGCATATAATGGATCACCACCCATTAATAGGAATCTCCAGCCTCATGTCGCAGTCTTGAGGTTGCCGGATTGATGTAAATATGAAAGCTCCTCCCCCCTTGTCAACAAAAGAGACAGAATCCCCATAGTCTTTGGGAGGTGGTTTACTTTTCTCTAAAGGCTAGTTTGGTGTAGTGAAATGAAATAAAAGAAAGTGGAATGAAATGGTTTTTTTTCTTTTCATTCTCGTATTTGGTGCCAATTTTAAAGTTAGAATCATCATTCCCCATTATTCTTGAAAAATGGCCATTCCATCAAAAATCATTCCATCTTCCAATAAAAGGAATGACCATTTCATTCAATTCCATTCCATTCCCACCTCCATTCTCATTCCATTCCAATTCATTCCACCACACCAAACTAGCCCTAGGAGAAGGAAAAGATCAAATACTGGTGGACCAAGATTGATATAATTAAAACCACTTTCCCATCATCATCATGTTCAACCCCTCTTTACACCTTTTCTTTTTCTTCATCTTATAATTAATTCACCATATATGATCTCATCCACTTCTCCAAAACCGCCACTGAGTGGAGGGCATTGCTACCTCTGTATCCAAAATTATGGCTCTCATCTTCCTCCACACCTTGGAGAGTGTGTCTCTATATCTATATCTATATCTATATATATGTAATTTTTTATTAGATGGTCCAGTTTGATGGTAGCAGCTGTCATGGCCCACGTTACACCATCCTCTAATCTGTTCAATGACTTCATTGATGCACCAAAACAACCTCCTCTCAATAATTTCCACTTTCAATGATTTTGGCCTATCTGTTTTGTATTGATTTGAAGCACACCATGGCTATCTCTCTCTCTCTCTCTCTCTAGAGATAACTGAATCTGGTCAAAATGAAAGCCACCGGTCAGTTGGTTGGGACATGAACTCATGTCTGTATGGCATCTTCCAAAAACAAAAACGAAAATATCATCAAAAGCATTAATATGGTTCAAGACAAAGTAAGAGATTAAATATCATGATTCTATCCTATGGTCTTCTCACAAAATGTCATAAAGGCTCTCCAAATCCTTCTAAATTACTCCCTCCGCCCCATATTAATTCTTCGCCTTTGATATTATTTTGAGGTTATGAGCCAAAAACCACAACATGGACCTACTTAGAAATCAAATGTAATTTCACTTGGTAATTGAAATTACAGGGAATTATATAGATATATATATTATATACAGTAATAATCTTTAGGATTGAGGGGAATGAAAGGAAAAGAAAGAAAAAGGAGTCAATTAAATCATGTTTGGTTAAGAAAAACAACCAACAAAGAAGAAGAAGAGAAGGGGAGAGTCAGAGTGAAGAGTTTGTATAAATGGTTTTGTTTTCCTCCCAACAAATGAGAGGAAATGACAAGAAAGATGATCTAAATACTAGTAATTAATCAATTATCAATTACCCATTTCACATAAATGGTTTTCTTTTTTCTCCACTTGCATAATAGATAAGAGGCATGAAAGAGTTGTCATTTTCTTTCTCTTTAAAGCTATATTTATGCCTTTTATTTTCTAACCATTGAGTATACCATGACTCCTTTCTTTCCTCTCCCTACTTATACCAAATGTCATGCAATATTTGTACAAAAATGTAACTACAAAATAATCTTATTACAAAGAAAAGATTAATTGTTTTTTACTGCAAATATAGTGATTAAAACAGCCCAATCAAAATACTAATTTTGAAAAGGAAATTACCTTCCAACCCTTGCCACCATCGAGTCTTTAGTTCCTTCTCCTCAACCTGTAAGTCACAACAATAAACCACTGATTAAAGAAAAATATATATATAATTAAAACAAAAATAATTTGCCCAAAGAGAATATATTACATAAATGAGCTAAAAAATAATAATGGTACTACTACATATATATGGAAAAAGTTTTTTTTTTTTTTTTTCCCCCGAAAGTTAAGCTGCAGAAATAATAAAAGTTGACAAGACGACATTGAGATAAAGCTGTACGTGCCACTTGAAAGCATCATAAAAACACAGGTTTAAAATATATATATATATATATATATATATATATATATAATTTAAAAAAAAAAAAGTCTTAACGGATAAAAGATATGTGTAACGTGGCACGAATTACGCGAAACAGGGGACAACATACATGGTGAATGAGTAACGGCATTTAACGGAACCCTAACGGCAACCTGGAAAAGGGTAAAAGAAAAAGAAATGCTCTGCAACAATGGCGTCCAGAGGACGAAGAACAGAGACTCACCATATCACATTTTGAATGATCCAAAACGAAATTGGACTGAGAATTTCCATTAATTGCCATTTTTTGCATGGATCAGAAAGCAATCCATCTGGGTGATTTACAGAGTCCTATTCATACATTGACAGAGAGATTCGCTCTCACTTCACCATTGTTGTTCTTGAATATATTTGCCTATCTATATATAAATAGTAAAACTGGTAGTATTTATCTTCATATATGTATCTTCAAAAGTTCACCAAATTTAGGGCTATTGCCAGTGATTCCCATTGTGGATGAGGTACATGTGGCTAGGGCTTCCCCGAGGAGCATGGTAAGCACAGTAAGGAAGCTTGCCGCCAGATTTCTCATAGCAAATCGGAAACGGCACCGGCGGCGGGATCTGACGGAAACAACGATCCGCCACTCGAGACCTTGAACTAGAAGGGGCGGCGGAGAAGGCGGCGGTGGCAGAGGAGGAGTAAGGGGAGGATTTGGACGATGTCGCATCGATACTAGATGAGGCGATGGACGGAGGAGGAGAGACTTTTTTGGTGGATTTGAGCGGGGAAAGGAAGGCTTTGATCTTTGATGAGGCGGCACGGTCGTATTCTTCAATCAGATTGGCGAGATCTTCATCGGAAGTGATGGAGACGAGAGCATCCAAGTCCTCCGTCGGCAACTGACACCTCAGAGTCACCGACGTTCCGCACAATTCACCGACCTTGACCAACAGCTCTGTAACGACATCACAAATATCACACTCCACATCCACACATATAAATAAACACATATACATACTATATAAATATATATATATATACATATGAAATAGAGAAGGGACTGACCGGCAAAGGAGATGGAGCGTTCTACGGAAAGGAGACGGGTATGGCCGCCGTGGTAGCGGAGCTTGGCGTCGGGGTAGCGGGGGAGGATTCTGCCGCCGTAGCTGCAGAGGAATTTGATGGTGGAGGTGGAGGAGGGTTTGAGGGTGTTGAGAGAAGGAGTGACCATGTTGATTTGTGGTGTTTGGTTTTTGAGATTGAAGAGAAATGAGGATGGAGTTTTGAAGATAAAGAAGAGGGGGGAGAGAGAGAAGAGAGGAGTTGTGTGTTCAAGCCTATGTGAGGTACTCTTGGAGCGTTATTTATAGGGGTTTTTCTAAAGAATGGGAGGGGCTGGGTTCTCACCTTTTTGTGGGTGGTAGAAACTAGAAAGAGACCTCCACCTCCCATATGCTTACGTCACTCTCACATTTCTCTGCTCCTCCTCTTTTTTCTTTTTTCTTTTTTCTTTTTCCTTTTTTTTTAACTTCTCATTTCAATTTTCAAAGGTTAAAATTTCAAGATTTATTCAGTGCTACTTCCAAGACAACACCAATAACGACAAAATATACTCCCATTTTAAAATAGATATCCACCTTAAACATTGTGACTCAAGTAATGATAACTGTTGAATTAAAGTGTCGGGTTACAAATCCGTTGTACAAGTTATTGGTGCCATTTTCCCAATAATTGGTTAAGCATTAAATAAATAAAATCTTACAAAATTTGAAAAATTAAGTAAGAATAACAAAAAGTCTTTTTATTTTATTTTTCACACGTCCCCGATAATCTACTTGAAAACTAGACATCTATTTTAAAGCGGGGAAATATGTTTTTTTTCTTTTTTTTTTTATGTAATTTTTTTATTATTATATTATTATTATTATTATTTTTTACTTTGGCAATAAAACAGGTCATACACCATACGGCATCTACAATAAGATCATCGGCCAAATACAGAAGATCAAAAACACATAAAACACCATCCCAAACTAACTAACACATTTTATAGTCAAGATCAGCCGTCTTGATAAGCCAAAGAAAAGGTACCAGTTATAAAAGGAAAACCACCACAACAAAAGAAAAAAACAGTGCTAGAGAAAGACCCGATGACGTCACCCATGACGTCAGTGAGGAACCCACCGAAAAAAACCACCGGCGAGAGAACCAAACACGCCAGCGCAAGCACCAGAGACGACATACATCAGTAAAAGACGTAGATGCATCGATCCACTTCTAGCGCAAAATACCAAAAATTTCCAAAAAGGAGAAGACAAACAAACCCAACTCCGGCAACCCAGCAGCCATGTACCCTCGGAAAAGGTGCAGATCAGGAGATCAGGAATAAAAACACACAATGAAATGTGAGAGACGCTGCTTATAGCGAAACCTCGACGACAGCGAGGAAAAATAACAAAAGACGGTGTGAATCCACCCACCAAACAAGTTATGTACAGCACACCGATATTATTAATCAGTGGGTGGCTGGGATCAAGACCTCCCCACTCCCATGGGAGGGAGGAGGGAGGAAGCAGAGGGATGAAGGTGAGGATTGGCGGCTAGGGTAGAGAGAGGCGGGAAAAAAGTTGGGTATAGAGGGTACTGATTCAACGCAGTTGAACATTTCATCAAGAAGTAATAATTTTTCATTATAAAGTGCAGTTGTATAATCTAATTTTTAGAATTTATAGGTACCTCGAACACATAAGATTTGGAGAATGTTGAGTAAAATCTAAGTCGTAGAATTTATAGGCTTTGTTGTGGGATTCACAATATCCGATGCAGTCGTAGTTGTACAATCCAAGTCTTAGAATACATAAACTTCACTGTAGGACTCATAAGATGTGCACTGGCAACTGCACAACCGTAACCTTTATGACCTGTAATCCGTTTGATTAGATAAAATTTTTTGATGAAAAGCAAAAGCGAAAAAATAAATAAATAAATAAAATAAAATAAAATTATTGTAATTTTCAAAATTACTATTTTAATTATAAGATTACTTTTTATTCTTTTGAGACACTGTTATATCGCCAGAATTATGAACAAAATGCAAAATTTAAGTTCAAAGATGAAATTATAGTATTTGTGTTCTGATATTTGATAATTAGATATATGTGATTGTAGGTGCAAGTTTAATAATAAAAGGTTGAAGTTAATGTATATACTTTTAGTCATAAAAAATAAAAAGAAAAAAGAAAAAAGAAAAAAAAAAACAACAGTCTAATCAAAATAAAGTATTTGGAACTAAATTAGTTTAATACATTTGAGAAATATTAAGCAATTGCAAGAAAATTACTTTCCTAAAAATTTAACCAAACTCTTAACAAATTTAAATATATATATATTTTTTGTTTCTTTAAGAGTTAAGGTATATTGACAGTTGTACTACCCTAGCCCTATGATTTGTAATCCTTATTGTGGGACTCATAAAATTTAAGAATTGAATGTATGCATTCTAGGAGAGTTTTTGTTTTTTTGGAATTGAAGTAGCTCCTAAATGAATTGTTGAATTATTAAATCAAATAAGATTATTTTTTTCATTATGTTTATTGTGATAAGTTAACTGGTTGCTTATGAATGAATTTATATTTAAATTGTTATTAACAAGATATTCAATGGAAAGAAGATGTAAGGTTTCGATCAAAGAGATTGTTAAGGAATTATCGAATTGAATATTCATTTCATACTTGAATTATCAAATTGGATTCCAACTAATTCAACAAAATGTCTAGCTTGAAGTAAGGAAAAATTCATTTAGCCATTTATGAGGGTAAATTACACTCACACCTCTATGTATGGATTAAGACAGGTAACTACAACTTAGACGTTTTTTGAAGAATGATACCCTTCAAATTTGGTAAATTGAACAATGACATCCCAAATTAAGGAAAAAATACCTTATTACCATTTGATTTATGAACTGACTTATTTGAATTATGAATTTACCATTTTAACCTTTTCAAAGCATTTTAATGGAATTAGCTTAAAAATATGATCGCATAAATACTTTTGAATTAATAATAAATAAAAAAAACATTAGTGTGTTTTATAAAAATTAATTATTTTATTTTTACTATAAAAAAAAAAAAAACAATTCAAGGAAAGCGGTTAATAACATTTGTGGCCATGTTAATTATTAATCATCTTAGGATTGCAATCAATAATTGGACTAATTAATTTTCCTCTCATTGGACTTGATTACACGTTAAACCTAATTAGTGAAGCATATCAAGTTCGTAAAACCAAATGGATCCAAAATACTAAACTATTGATAATAAATTTGAGATTGATTGATTAAATTAAGGTTTGAAAAGGTTAAAATGGTAAATTTATAATTTAAATAAATCATTTCATATGTCAAAGGGCGTTAAGGTAATTTTACCTTGATTTGGGGGTGTCATTGTTCAATTTACCAAATTTGAGGGGTGTCATTGTCTAAAAAATAACTAAGTTATAGTTACTGGTCTATATCCCAAATCTGAGAGTGAGAAGTAGCTAGGCCAAAAGTTGGTTTGCCTTATGGTAGGTGATTAAATTTTAAATATGTAGTTTCACATAATTAACTTGAATCACTTTTATAATTTCAAGGCAATTAGAGTAAATTATGAATATTAAAAAATTTTGATTTTAAATTAGACCATTATTTTGGTACAGTTAAAATTGAAAAGGTGAATAAACTGCCAAATTGAATATATATTTAATAACAAAAAAATCAATCGAGTTGCTCAACCTCGAGGCCTCACGCGATTCCTTAGGGCGAGAAACTGATGAAGGTTATGATACAGGGCTCTGTAGCTAGTCACTTGTTGGCTGCGTTATAAGTATCATCTTTCTTTGGTGTCGGTATCTGCCCACTAGATCCTAATTTGAGCAAGGTGTTATTTTTGCGTGAAAATTATTATCCCATTTTTTTTGTAAATATGCTAGGTCGCTATAAAGTTATATTTTTTCTTAAAAATTCTCAATTTTTTTTTTATTATGATTAAAGTAAATCAAAAGTTTTCGTAATTATTTATTAGCTTATGTTACCTCCAAAGTATTGTATACTTTTTCAAAGAGGAGAGTGAAAATTTTTGAATGAAATTTTTGATCAGTTAGAGTTTATTTGATTTGTAATTTTGAAAATAGTTCTTAAAAATTTAGAGAATATAAAACTGTTTTCAGATAATCATAAAAGTCATTTATTTAAAAATATATTTTTTTATAACTCAATTTTTATAAAATAATTTATAAAAATTTGAATTAAGCAAAAAAAAAATTATACAATTTTTTATTTTCAATTTATTTAAAAACAGACAAATCAATCATACCCTTAATTACTCATATAATCCTTTTTGAATTGATATTTTGAAGACCCCTCTCAACTACCTAGTTGGTTCTAAACGGTACCCACCACACACACACACACACACACACACACACACATATATATATATATATCCATCTAACTGCAAACTCTCCCATCAAAAAGTTTTTATATGGTGCAGGTATAAAGTATAAACCCTCCTAGATATTGCATCCAGTCATAATCATTCTTTGGAATCAATGGGTCCAGCTCTAATTTGTTTGCAAAAAGAGAGTGTGATGGTTGGGCCCTAACACGCCCCAACAGATGTCAGGATCTTAATGGCTCACTGCACACAAAGTCAGCGGTATTCGATAGTTATTATTTGTTATTGCACACTAAAATTACACGTCACCTCTCTCCCTTAATTGGTATGCTAACATACACATCAACAGCTATATATATACATATAGAGAGAGGAGGAATTTTTCTGCATAACTAATTGGCAAGTGTCAGCCTCCGGCCCTTGTGTCACTGTGTGTGTGTGTGTGTGTGTGTGTGGAGAGAGATAATTCTGCATAAGTTAATCATAGTCCACTTCAAGTTTATATTTCAAATCTTTTGAGGAGAATAGAGATGAGGTGGAGATATTAATGGTTAATACACAATGACTAAATAATTGGTATTTTAATATTCATTCTTTCTTTTCAAGTAAGGATCAATTTTGTAGGATTATTTGAATTATTATGCTAAAATAAATAACACCATAACTATTAAGGGAAGATAACTTCAGGCACATAATCATAGTGAAGCTGTTCCTCTTACTAATCAAATTACATTATTTCAATACTACAATAATACACATAATATTAAAAGAGAAATGCTATTAATACCTGTTGAAGGTAGTTCTTTGTGGGATGTGGAGATCGTTCCACATAAGCCAAGGAATCTGAGATTAGTATTCAAGTGGAAATCCAAGCAACACAAGAGATTCTCTGAGTACAGAGGTTAAGAAAGCGAAGGCCA